CTGTTCAAACATACTTTCTCAATTTAATGAAGCACACAGAGTCAACAACGTCTGAGCACAAAGCGCTTGGATGATTAATAGATTATGTACTTATTGTAAGTGTGAATGTTGACCAAATGGAAAGAAAGAAAAAAAAAAGTAATATTACTATATTAGTTTAAACAAAATGATGCCATTTTAGATAAAAGTCCATAATACAAGGTGACCCGATATAATTTGTGGGATCATTGTAGACCTCTTTCTCCTTGGTAAAATAATACTCCGTATTGATCAAGATTTACTTTTAGTTATCGAGTATTTGTGGTACTGTCACATTTAGGCATGCTTTTTTAATGAGTTAATATCACAAATGGTCAACTATTTGGGTAGTACTTTTTTTAGTCCTTGATTTTCAATTCAACAAAAACACATACCTTAACTTTCATTTTTTACCACAAATAATCCTCCATTATAATTTTTGTCAAATAGTATTAAATATAAGGTTAATATCGTAAAATAGATGTAACTGACACCTCTCAAACTACGCTTATTTATTCATTGGAGCTTTTCAATGAATAAATATTTTTGGTTTCGACCTGTAGCTGTAGTTGAATTTTGCCATAATGCTTCAATATGATCTCTCTGCACATGCTTCCCATTGAGATGTTAAAAGGAACTTAGATTTATATATTTTTCCTCTATTATTTAACTTCTATAATTCTCAATTTTCGATTCTTCGCTTTCGCATTATTCTGCTATATTCCTAACAAAAAAATGTGTATTTGAAAACCTTGAAAATTTAATATATCCTAAGTTGTTGATATGCACATATATGCCACCCTCTTTGCCAAGCCAGGGAACCCAAAAAAAAAAAAAAAAAAAAAAAAAAAAAAAAAAAGTGACATTGTCAAGATGTCTAGGAGGCTCCTGTCGATTATCATCACTCTCCATGTTTAGAGGACCGATGTTTTGGCATGTTTTATTGTTCACGTAGGGAAAAATGAGAGGTATTTGACATTTTCTCTTTTCAAATCCTGGGTGTTGAAGTTGTGGAGGGTAATTAGGGAAGAATGAAGGGAAGGATGATAATATTTTTTAATTTGCAAACACTGATATAATAATTCGGTCAAAGTACCTATGAGATCTCTGTACTATAACGTTTTGTTCAATTTAGTCATTCTACCTTAATTTTGTTCAATTTAGTCCATGTACTTTAAAAAGTGAAACGATTAAGGACAATAATTGATATTTATGTATTTATTTTGGACATATTATGTAATATATTGGTGGTAAAAATAAGTAATTTTAAATATTTATAAAATAATATATGAGTTGGTATGTAAGTATGATGATGTGACAGATATGATGTCTACGCCATATCAGCGATAGTCCTTAATTGTTTCACTTTTTAAAGTACAAGGACTGAATTAAACAAAATTAAGGTAGAAGGACTAAATTGAACAAAAGACTATAGTACAGGGACCTCATAGGTACTTTGACCTAATAATTCTAGTTGGCTTCATTTATTATTATTTTTTTTTGGGGGGTGGGAGGGGGAGGGGGTGATTGGTTTCATATTGCTGAGTAACATTTAATATTTTAGATTTACAATATTAATCTTAGATTTAACACCCATTTAACAGAAATTATAACGGATGACTATTTGTAGTTAAAAATGAAAGTTAAGATATGTGTTTTGGTCGAATTGAAAGTCGAGGACTAAAAGGAGTACTACCCCAATAGTCAGAGGACCATTTGTTGTATTAACTCTTTTTTAATTTTGCCACACATTCCATCATTAACTTTCATTTATTTGCTACAATTAATCATCCTCTTAAAATTTTGTTATTTCACAATTTAATTTAATAAATTTGGCTAACATGTAATTTAATCATTCAATTAAAAGAGTTCATAAGATAGGGAGAGAAATTAAATGTTGGGACAAAAGACTTGAATAAACTTCACCAAAAAAAAAAACTTGAATAATAAAATTACATGATAGCTCGGCCTCTTCATTAAATGCTGAAATGACAAAAATTTAAATGAATAAATTTATGGCAGACAAATAAAAGTTAAAGATGTAATGTGATAATTTTTTTAAAGACTTAATGTATCAATAATATCACAATAATCATTGAATAAAAGTGAAATTTGTTCAATATGAAGACTCGAATCTTGATGGGCTATGAGGTGATTGCATTATCCTCTAATTATACTCATAGTACGTATTTAGTCTATGAGTTATATGCATGATCATCTTTACCTCCATAAGTTATGTACAAAGCGGTGAGTTTAGTTTTTGAAGGACCAAATTAGCCGCTTTATTTAAGTAACATATTGGTAGCAAAATAGTTACGTTCACGAAATACTAAAATCATCATTTCGCACATAACTTAGGAGTTAAAAGATGGTCACTCATATAACTTAAAGACTAAGCCTATACCAGGCAAATTATATCATGCACCACGTGCATGATCAATCATGCACCGCGCGTCTTTTTTTTTTTAAATGAAAATAAACAGTGTTTGTTTTCCGCCGTTTCGCACCCTTTTGCAAAAAGTAACCCTGTTCTTCAGTGTCATTTTGTACACACTGCAGTTTCAGTTCAACACAACTACAGTTTCATTTCGATATAACTATAGTTTCATTCGATATTTATAGACTCAAATATGTGAAAATGTTATTTAATTTTATTTTATATACACTATAGCTTCATTAAAACACAACTACATGATCATTTTGATATAATTACAGCTTCATTGTACAATATACACTCAAATATGTGAAATGTTATTCAGTTTCATTTTATATACACTGCAGTTCATTTCACTATAACTACAGTATCATTTTGATATAACTGCAGTGTCGGTTTAGATATACTGTAGTGTCAGTTGGTGTTTAATACACCAAACAAGCGGACTCCGGTTAACTATAACGGCGGGCCGTTTCTTTACTTAAAGAAACGGTGCCTTTTTTACAGCGGTGCACATGCACCGCGGTCTATGATATAACGACTGCCTATACCACGAGTAGCGCTGTGTAACAGACGGATTTGTGTGGTTCGAATTTATGAACCGCCCACCCGTTCAGATTTCGATTTACTATATTTATATCTAAACCGTTTAATTTTATTAAGTAACCACTTGGAATTTTGGTTGTTCGGGTTCAGTCGATTTTTATCCGAGTTCAATTTTGGTTCCGATTGAAAAACATTAAAAAATATATAAACTAAACTATTAAAAATCAATTGTTCAACCTTACAAGTTACAAGATACTGGTAGTGAACTTAACTTACAAATGACATCACATGTGACAACTTACAACTAAGTTACAATTTGCAAATCTACAAACTGCAAAATTAGATTGTCCAAAGTCAAACTAGCAAGTGGCAAACTCCAAATTAAAAGTTACATCACAGTTCACAAAAAATCATAAATACAACAATCAGCATTTAGCAATTCATCAGCACTCAACAGTCAACACACATCCTCTTCCTGCTCATATTTAAAACCATTAGCCAATAAAGTACAAAGTACAAATAGAAGTTAAATAAAGGATTCATTCTTCCAAAGGCTGAACCCCTTAAATAAAAGATTCATAAATGTAGGGATGGCAACGGGGCAGGGCGGGGGCAGGGAGTATACTCCCCGTCCCCGGCGAGGAATAGAAAAAGTTCTCCGGCCCCGTCCCCGCGGAAAATTTAGCCGGGACGGAGAATCCCCATCCTCGGTCAACTCATAGTTAAAGTGTCAAATTGATACAATTTTTAAAATTAAAAAAAGAAAAAAAATTAAAATCTGTGGCTGTGATTTATGAGAGTTTATAACATTATATATATATATATATATATATATATATATATATATATATATATATATATTCTGACATTCAATACAATGATTCACCGTGCAAATTAATCAACATTCATTATATTCCAATTAATTCAATATATACACATTCATTCAATATTCATAATGCAAAGTAATCAACATTCAATATATTCCAATTAATCCAATATATACACTGATACACAGTATAAGTAGTATATATACACAGTATACTTAATATAATAATCTCCAATATATACACAGTATAGTTAATAATATAATTCCTAATCCTAAAATTATATATATATTAAATATTCGGGGATGGGACGGGGGCGGGGAGGGGTATCCCCGTCCCCGCCGGGAAATTTCAAAAATTCCCCGTCCCCAATCTCCGAAATTTTTTCCTGTCCCCGTCCCCATCCCCTACTGGGACGGGGATCCCCAACGGGGACGGGACATATTGCCATCCCTACATAAATGTGCTAAGAGAGAGAAAAAAATGGTTGAGATTGCTATTTTTTCATATCAAGGTAGGATTGGGAGCAAATTGCTAGCTACTTGAATTTTAGAATAAAACTTAGAAAAAAAAAAAAGAAAAAAAAAATCAACCTAAATTCATTTGATTTAGACAAATGGTAGAAGCATCATCATAGCAACAATGGGAGTTAGCAAAATAGTAACAAGTATTCAGTAAAAACAAAACAATTAAGATTTAAGTACTAAGAACTAAATGGGAGTAAGAGATCGAGAGTAATATACTAGAAATTTATTGGATAGCGTGGTAGATTATGTTTCACTGATTCTTCTTAAATGTAAAGAAAGCTTTTTTCATCCAACTAAACATGTTTTAACATATTATATATGTACATATAACTATGAATTGAACAACTTATATTATTTTATTTTTCCCAATTTTTGCCAATTACAATTGCAATACGCAATTATTCAGTATATAATTTTGGATAATCACGGTGATTTTCCATATTACTAGACACATAATAATCATTTGAGGAGTTGAAATATCTATCTCAAAATATCCACCATATTCTAGATAATTCCTTCTTCTATCATTCACTTCACGAAGCTTCACGAAAGACCCAATTGCAAAAGCTCATCTTTTCAAATTTCACTCCCATTCTCCACTTTCCCTATAAATACACATCAGTCCTCTAACTTTCACATCATCAAACAAAGCAACAGAAACCTTAAAGCAATCACTAAAACACTCTTTCTTAAATCTTAACCAAAATCTTCCTGCAACATCGTCTATTGTTTCCTGTTTTTTTCCCAGGATTATAATGTCGCTGATTCCAAGCTTCTTCGGTGGCCAACGAAGCAACGTCTTCGACCCATTCTCCCTCGAAATCTGGGACCCCTTCTATGACTTCCCATTCTCTAACGCCGCCGTCTCTGCACCGCTGCGCTCGGAGGTTTCCGGCGAGACAGCGCGGTTCGCCAGCGCGAGGATCGACTGGAAGGAGACCCCGGAGGCGCATGTTTTCACGGCGGACCTTCCCGGGCTGAAGAAAGAAGAGGTGAAGGTGGAGGTGGAGGAAGGGAGACTGCTGCAGATCAGCGGAGAGAGAAGTAGGGAGCAGGAGGAGAAGACGGACACGTGGCACCGGATGGAGAGGAGCTCCGGGAAGTTTCTCCGGCGGTTCAGGCTGCCGGAGAATGTGAAGATGGATGGGATAAAGGCTAGCATGGAGAATGGGGTGTTGAGTGTGACGGTGCCCAAGGAGGAGCCCAAGAAGGCTGAAGTTAAGGCTATCGACATTTCTGCTTAATTAATGTTTGCATTATTATGTGTTTGTGTTTTTTCCCGTGTGTGAATGTCATATTATCATGTATGATGGATTAAATTTTATAATTCTAGTAATTCCCTAAATTAAATTTAATAATAATCTTTCAACATGTCTACTATATATATATCAAATAGACGCCTATTACGAACTTTTTTTTTTTTTTATAAAAAAAATTATATCACTTTACCTTTTAATTGAGCCGGCTTGGTGTGAATTGAAACTAATTTGAGGATGGTACGAACTTAAAGGTGTCTCTTATAATTAGGGTTTGCTCAAAACACTTAGTAAATGTTGCAAGAGGAAGGGAGAAGTAGGAGGAGAAGAAGAGAAAAAAATGAAAAAAAAAATGAAGAAAATGATTTGGTAGGAAAATAATAAGTTTAAGAAAAAAGTATTAGAGACAATAATTTTACCCTTAATAATTCATTTATCTAAAATTTTGTCACTCATAGCTGTAATTTAGGTGATGGACCAAAAGTGATAACAATTTAAAATTAAAGTTGTGAGATTAAATTTAAAAATTTTAATAATTGGGAATGAAATGTGAAAATGATTTAATACAATGGAATGGTGGAATTCTAAAGAGCAAAAACAAACTAGTCACCAAGGACATAGGGGATTCCAACACAGTTATTCTAGTCAACTATAAGACCAACTCGTGGTATGTGGTAATGATTTAAAAATTGAACATAATTTAAAAATTTTAATAATCAAGAATTAAATTGATGATTCCAAATTCATGCACAAATCTGAAAATTTAATAATTGGAGATGAATTGTTGAAATTGTCCCGTACTCATAGGATCAAAAGTGAAAAATACTCGTTATTGTGTGTTGCTCTAACTCTTAAGAGCAACCCCAATAAGGGAATCTTGCACAAAGTTTAAGAAATATTGGGTGTGATGGAGGAAATTAAAGAAAGGGAAGAGAGAGAGGGGGGAGTTGTGTTGGAAAAAATAGTTCAAAATCGTAGAAAATAACATATTAAGTGATTATTTTGTGGTACAATTATTAACCTGTCTACTATATATATCAAATAGTCCTGTTGTGACCGTTGAGTTTTAATTCAACTGTTATGAAATTAATTTTTTGAATTAATTTCAATTTTAAATTTTGAATTAAAGCTCAAGTTAATGAGTTGTTGTTACAGGAGTTAGAAAGTTGGTATTAAAAGCCATGTTAAAAACTATTGAACTCCTTCAACCCTATATAAGAAGAAGTGGAGGCAGCATAATTTTACAACCACATAAAATCATAGTTTTCAGTTACAAAATCTCTGCTTCTACGCCTTTCTTTAGCCTACTGTGTTCATTCTAAGCCTTGCTCTTAGCTTGTTCGTCGGGTTCAAAGTTTGGATGCTCAAACGTTGAACCGTAGCACGTTTTATTTTGGGAAACTTAGGCTACAACGCTCCTAGCATTTTTGGGAAGTAGCAAATAAAGTTTTAAGGAAAAAGTGATTAGCTCGACTCGTGCTAACAACCTAAACCAAACCCGAGCCATATCACTTCTCCATTTCCTTCTCAATTTTTCATAAAATAATAATCACTTTCGTAGGATTATTATTTGGGTTATTAAACGAAATATCCAACAAGTTGATCCTGCAAAAATGGGGATTTTGCATTCATTGGTGGAACCCAATGAAGAATAGTTGTGCCTGACACGTGAGGCGCAACTAATTTTTTTTTTTCTTCAGGTTTTAATTATTTTTTCCTTTTTTTTTTCTCCCCTCTCATTTTTTTTATCACACATGTAAAATCTCTTCAAAATCTTAACTCTATTTTTTAAAAAATTGCGTAATTATATTAGAAATAATATTGAATTAATAATTTCAGAGACTTAATTAAACCCCAAAACAACATCATTAGTCATAGTTTCAGAGCAATGATGCAATACTGGTTACTTCAGTTAGCAATAGTGTCACTATCATAGTGTCATCCGCATATATATATATATATATATATATATATATATATATATAGAGAGAGAGAGAGAGAGAGATGCTTCCGACGCCAACTGTCAATCACCGAGAGAGATAGTAGATTATCATGTCGAAACGGGTCATCTCCAAAATACACAATTTACATATTTAATGTTCACAATTTTTTAAATGATAAAATGCGAACATTAAGGTCCTATTTGGTAAAATGGCTGTTAGCTGATAGCTGTTAGTTGTTAGCTGATTGTGTCAAAGGGTATAAATAATTGATAACATTAGTTGATTGTAGAAAAGTGTTTGGTAAATTAGCTGTAAGCTGATAGCTATTTGGTATAATTTCTTTTTTCAAAAAGCTAATTGAAAAAGTTGCTTAGAATAGCTTTTTGAATTTTAACCTTTTAGAGTTGCAAAAAACTAATTAACCAAACATTTATATTGATATTTTAACTAAATCAAACAATTAATAGTGATCAAATAATCCAAAATTGGCCTATAGACCAATTTTTTACCAAACAGGGCCTAAGTATGTAAATTGTGAACATTCAATATTAAAATTGTATATTTTAGACCTAGATTCACCTTGCAAGGTGGACCTTGGTCCATGGTATAACTGCTCCAGGTTTGCATCTTCGACCATTAGGATACTAACACCCAAGACCGAACCCGCACAAAATGGTAGAGGTTTTAAGAGTCAAACTTTACTTTTAGATGTAAACAACGGTTGAAGATGAAATTTGGAAGCTAAATGTTGGTATTGATATCATAATATGAAGATACTTGAATGTGATTGACCACAACAAAACATCTCTTCTCGGTTTCTTCTAGGGACATAGCACCTTAGAGCTAAACCATCTACTTATTCAAATGGTATAGATGAAATTTTGAGGTTCTAAAAGTTCCTTACAACCATCTCTCTCAAACCAGAAACTAACTGAGGAATTCAGTTCAGAGAGATGGATTGTGGCCATCTAATGTCAAAAGCACCTTATACAACTCCGGGCGCCGATCACGAAACACCCCCCAACTACGTCTTTTGCTTTTGATATTGGCAAGATCAAACTGTGCTACAAGAACAGCTTCCTGCTTATCATCTGCGAGTGCCACAATTTCTCCTGTGGGACCTAATCAAATTATTGGAATACCAAGATCAAATAGTCAAATACCTTGTTCATCTCTATATGAGACAAACTCAACAGTTCAAATATATAAAATTATTCGAACGCTTCATTTAGTCAACTCTTTCCATTTCATGGCATACCTGCTATGAAGGAATTGCCATAGAATGTTATCTCACTCTTCCCATGCTCTGTCTCAATTATCTCCTTCCCAATGCGGTTTGAAGCTACTAGAGGTACCTTAACTCACAACAAGTTATAATAGCAATCCTCCCTTAGAAATGTGCTTTGAATGATGTAACAAATGGAATATAACTTATCTAAGACAACTTTAGAATATTATGATTCATAAAACTTACTACGTTAGCCCCAGCATGACCTTGCATCACTCGCTTCCAATGCTCTCGGGAATCAAGTCCGTCATCTTGAGGTTCAGAACCAATTGCAGTTGGGTACAACAGTATTTCTGCACCCTGAAGAGCCATAGCTCGAGCTGCCTCGGGGAACCATTGATCCCAGCAAATACCTACAAAAATAGTAGTGTCATTTTGGACTGGACTTTTATTATTTTGGAGGTCACCAATGTTAACTAAGCTTCTTGGCGAATTCTCATAAAGAATATTTAAAGATGAAGATAGGATATATTCTCACCCACTCCAATTTTTGCAAATTTCGTCTCGAAGACCTGTGCATTTTAAGTGTAAAAGGTTACCCAAATTCAATCACACAATCATAGATGCAAAAGACTTTTTTACAATTCACAACCAAATAAACCTATTCGGAGGACCAACTTAAGAAATTTACCTTAAAGCCAGTGTCACCTGGATTAAAGTAAAATTTTTCCTGGTAACCTACAGAACACCAAGTTGAAGGAATTTGATCAATTTTGTTATGTAGTTGACTTGAAATTTCACTCCTACAGTACGTCCTGCTCCACTTACCTGGACCATCAGGAATATGGGATTTTCTGTAAAGTCCAAGATCAGTCCCATCAGCATCAATCACAACTACTGAATTGTAATGGGCATTATTTGCCTCCTCAAAGAAGCTAACTGGAATTACAACTCCCAAATCTTTTGCAAGCTCCTGCATCCTGTAAAGGATGTACACGAAAAACACAAGTCTAGCTGGATTGAACAATCTTGATATATAAATCTGGGATATTTTGGTTTATCTGTATCATTAATTGAGCAATTTTGTGATAATAAAATTACCAAACAACTGAACAAGATGCAAAACCAGATAAATTAAGAGTTTTCACCTTAGTATTGTTGGATGTCCCTTGTATGGTTTTGCTCTTTGAAAGTAGTCTTCTCTTTGTGCTTGACAAAAGTAATAACCCTCAAACAACTCCTGAAATAGAAAACATGGAGAAAGAAGTTACAAAAAATATTAAATAAGTTAAAATATAGAAAATTTATTATATTTTATTTTTGTCAGACCACGAGGTGTCCTGAGCAGGCCCTAACTGTAGTAGGTACCTTTAAGCCCATACCATACTCAGACTAATCCCTATTCGCACCGGGTCAGCTCAATTAAGGGGCAAAGTGCTAGCCAGATTGGTTTTTCCATACGAAAGGAGGTTCGAACTCCCGACCTCTGTTAAGGGACGAGAGTGCACGGCCACTCACGCCAAACCCCAAAAAGCACACATATCACTACCCTTTGGTAACCTCAAAACATGCATACATACATACGTATGTATGTGTGTAAAATGCAAAGACGAATTATATAATATCCCTTTTATTCATAAGAATTCAAGGTTTAATATAAAATAGATTCCCACTGCACAAATTTTAAAATGGAATTAAATTAGGCACTATCCCAGATCTCCACTAGACCAATTACCCATTTTGTCACTCTTCTAATCCTCTCTAGTCATTTTAGCTCACTTCTAAATCTTGCATCTTTTATAGATTTTGGCTTGACCTGATCATTTC